AACAGAGGAACCAAAAAGAAAAACAACTCTGCATTAAATATCATATGCTAACGTCTGCCACCTCACACTTGCCCAGCCCAGAGAAAGCAAAAGCATAACAGTCCCTGGAATGTGCTTTCCATGTGGGCAGGCTGGACACTGGGCAAAAGCATACTCTAACATGAGTCCACTGACCAAGCCATGCCCAATATGTGGTCAATGGGGCCACTGGAAGATGTACTTCCTCTGCCTGGGAAGTCCTCCCAGGTCAGGCTCAGTCCAATCTTTAGCCTCAACCACTCATGAAAGACCCTTCATCCTTATTAGCTCTCTTCAGAAGACTGACGAAGCCCAGGATTCTCCGCCCAAACAGCAAATGTGCCCTCAGAACTCAGAGTAGTTGTGACAGTATCTGGTAAGACCATCTCTTTCCTACTGGATACCAGGGCGAGTCTTTCAGTTCTCACAGAATATAGCAGTGCACTCCTCTCTTTCTCAGTCTCAGTAATAGGAATGAAAGGCATACCTGCCACTCCCAAACGAACACCACCTCTACTTTGTTCCTTTGGAGATTTATCCTTCACTCATTCTTTTTTAGTAATGCCTCAATGCCCCATTCCTCTTTTAGGACGTGATATGTTACACAAATTAGGAGCCATAATACATTATGAATTTCAAAGAAACAGTCACCCCTACCTTTTACTAGCACCTGGTCCCTGTGTAAGGTCCCCTTGAACCTTCGCCAAAAATGAATCCCATAATTTGGAATGCTGATATCCCTGTCATTTCCCATCACCACACTCCTGTAAAACTTTCATTAAAGGATCCTATGTGTCAAATCGCTGTCCCTCAATACCCGCTTAGTCCTGAGGGTCTCCATGGCCTCCAACCCATTGTTTCCCAATTCCTTGCAGCCCACACCCTCATACCTCCCCATTCTCCACACAACACTCCTATTCTCCCAGTAGGAAAACCCAATAGGTCATATAGACTCGTTCAAGACCCCTGTCGGATTAATCAAGCTGTGTGTCCTACTTTTCTAGTAATTCCAAACCGCTACACCCTTCTGTCATGCCTTCATTCCTCTACCACCCAACTCTCCTCACTCTCTTTATTCTTCATCCTGTTCCAACCAACCCTCACCCATCATCAATTCAACATTTAATACAACTCTCAGACTCCCTCCTATACCAAGCTCTACCACAACACATAGATGATACATGCTGGATTTGTGTAACCTCTACCTTATCACTTTTTTCAGCCACTCCAGTCCCCTTACAAACATGGGTAGGAACCAAAGCCTCCCTAGCTTTCTCAAAACCCCAAAAAGGTCCAATAGTCTCCTCTACTCTAGACGGACTGTCACAAACATGCCAGAAGAAGCTGAAAACATCCTACAGGGTATCCAAACATTCCTCCAAACCCTCCAGTACCCTACAACACTCACTACAGGACCAACAGGAAAGGCCCAAGATCTAACATCCCACCCGTCTTGTGTATTACCTGACCCAGTTTTTCATCAGACTCTCCTGTAGGAACTTTCAAAACCCCTTGTACACAAACCCTAAAACTCCCACCACCACATATTATAAACTCCTATAGTGCCACAATAGGAGCCCCCAAAGTTTGTAACCTCAAACAATCCTGCTTCAACGGCTTCCCATCAGTCACTTACCCCTAAGGTTTTCTCACCCCTCATGTATTACACCACTTGTAGGATCTACAACAACCACACAATACTGTGACTCCAAACACCCCACCATCTACTCACTACCCACTATTCAACATGTGCCTCAAGGCAATAGGCCCCCAAGTCAGAAGAGACTGTCATATGTTACCCATTAATAACACTCAACTATTTCTGCATATGCAAACCCACAGGTTAGCACTAGAAGCAGGCCACAATTACATTCTTGCCAACTCCATTTTCCTACAACCCTTAGGTGCAGAGCCCACTTAACAATTTCTTGTCAGCGTGGAAAAGAGCAGCACATGCGGACAGGCCCCACATTTCTTAACTTTCCAAATCCAAGGATGTATTAGCCCTCACCAAGGAGTATTTTTCCTATATAGAAAGAACCTTTACATTTGCATGGATACACACACCCTAGCATACATATCCCCACCTGTAACCTATTCTTTTGAAGACCACCCTATATTAGTCCCAATAAACACTCCCTTGAGCCAAAACACATGTGCCTTGCAATTTATCCCCCTACTTGCCAACTTAGGAATAGCAGCAGGTGTAGGAACTGGAGCAGCAGGAATTTCAGTCTCAACCACTCTATCCTCCTCCCTATGAGAAAGTTTGGATGAAATATCTCTATAGCTGTCCCAAATTCAAGATCAAATTGACTCCCTAGCAGGAGCAGGTCTCCAAAATCGAAGAGCCCTAGACTGACTTACAGCTGAAAAAGGAGACACCTGCATATTTCTCAATGAGGAATGCTGTATATTTGTGAACAAATCAGGCCTAGTCCGAGATGGTATAAAGAGATTAAAAGAAAAAGCAGCAAGGCTGAATTCCAGCAATTCTCCAAACTCGTGGCTTACCCAAAATATCCTCCCTTGGTTATTACCCATTTTAGGGCCTCTGGTGTGGCACTGTGAGTTAATGCGCCAGACACAAAGCTGTTTGAAATGCAAGGTCGGTGGTTTAAGCTTACCAGTTGCTCCTTGGAAACCCTTACAGGATCACTATAGGTCAGAACTGACTTGATGGCACTTAACAACAACTCCTTTGCCTGGGAGCTGTATTCTTGCCTTGTATAATAAATTCTTTCCAAAGATTTCTTAAAGGCTAACTCGCTGCCATTGTGAAAGATCAGGTGGTAACCACTCTTCTGTTGCAGACTTGCCCCATCTACACCCCCAAATCAGCAGGAAGCAGCCAAAGAGACACATCTGGCCTTATCCCCTTAACATCAAGGGTCTGGGATGAAGTACCTTGCTCCTGATCAACAATATAGCATTGCAGCTGCCCCCAAGTGGCACCAAATAAAGTCCTGCTTAAAAACTCAGGTCTCCTGAAAGCTTAAGTCTTTATCACACCAAGAGACCCTCCCCTTGATAATTTCAGGTTTCAGGATATTCTCCATAACCCCGTCCATTGGAAGCTCACCAGAATTGTACCGGGAACCACACCACCTTAAATACACCAGTCTGTAAGGGACCAGTGGGCTCTTGGTCTTTCTTGAGTTCTCTCTCCTGAGAGGTTTACTCTCAATAAACCTTCCTGCTATTGAAGCCATGTTTCTCTCCTAGTCTCTTTCTTTCTTATTTCTTACTTCCTCTGTATACAGGGTAGATAGGGACAGGCAACTTAGACATTGGCTACCTAAAATGAAGGGGTGATAAAGGCATGAAGTGACTGGCTTACAAGATTTCAAGAGAGAGTTTAGTTTAAGAATGTGGGGGTGAAGATAGAGTCGCCACTGAATAGTTTTCATCTTGTCTAGATGTGTCTGGTAAAAAAGAGATGGGGATGGGGATAAGATTCTTATGATTCAGTAGTAATTGTTTTCATGACTAATTGCGACTGTTACAATTGTAAAGGTTTAGCAACAAAAATGGGAGAGTGGTTAATTTTACAGTCCAGAAACAGAGGACCCTAGGACCATCAAAGGAGATGAGCACAAGCAGAATGTGGGTCCTTATCCAGAGAAGCAGCAACACCAGAGATGGAGGCAGAGATGGGGACACGGAGAGAGGGAGCAGCTGAGGATTCTAAATTCATCAAAAGAGAGGGACTGAGAGCTGGCAGCCAGGAGACGGACTTCCAAAATATGCCCTTTGATGGTGTAAATTATTATATATGCCCATGTGTTAAAAAAAAAAAAAAAATGTTAAAATGAGTAGAGAGAAATACTGTTAACTGATGGTACATGGAGGGGATTATAATCATTGTAATGAAACAAAGTATATGATTTGTTGAATGTAAAACTGATGATCTGCCCTGTAAACTTTCACTCAAGTTACAATAAAAACTTAAAAAAAAACAACTTACAGTTTTACCAATGTAAGTACATAGAGTGTGTACTTCCATGCAACTTTTCCTACACCAGAAATGAATTATCTTTATTTGTAAAATCTCTCTGACTACTTAACAATCAAACAGTGATAACTCAGTGTTCTTTTAGTATGAACATTTAATTATTTATGGAGTACATATTTTTCATGAGTCCTGGTGTGGTGTTATAAGATAAGCACATGTGGTGACCCACAGAAAGTCCAGCCAAGACTTTTAAGAGAGAAACAGAGAAATATCCAGTTGCAGTGAAATCTGGAGAAACGCAAAGATATGGAGTGAGGAAGATGGGAGAGGCAATGAAAATATATAAGTTACCTTCACCCAATTTAGAGTAAAAGGTTAAAAAAAAAAGAGAGAGAAGAAAATATACAAGTTGTTGTGAGACTCAGAAAATGAATATTTCTGAAAAAAAAAGAGAATGCTGATTTGGGAATGGACATCCTATGATGAAGTCAAACATACAGTGTTAAAAGGTCAGGCTGGTAAACTATTTCTGAAGATTTAAACTCATGAAAGATGATTGTATTCTGTTTTGAAAAAGAAGGGGAGAGAAAATGGGAAAGAGAAATGGAGGACAGCTTGGTGATAAATGCAGATTGTGCCCAGCTGCTAGCAAAAGGCAATCTAAATTTCAAGCTTAGTGCATTTTTTTTAAGCAAAACTCTAATTTTAGAGCAGATTATAATGTTGCTCATTAACTGCTGACTAAGCAAAGCTGTGATACAATGTTTGATGGTTTTGTTAATACTCTTTGAGATTTATTAACTTACTGTTTCTTACAAAACTAAAAGGACAAGATACAGGTTCCTCCATTTGAAATTACTGTACCTCAGCTGAATGCATACACAAATAGCTTACATAAATAACCAGAGGCCCAAGACAAAGTCTCAAAAGATTGATATGAAGAACAGCCAAATTGTAGTTGGTGTTGCTGGTAACAATGTAGATAGTTCATCCAGGCTTTGCCCAAGTAGAGAAGAGACATACTTACCTAGCCACAGTGGCTGGCCTTGAGAATTAAAGAGTAGTCTCTCACTTTCCCGCTGGCAGGCAGGTGCTATATATATATCACTGCTGATTATTCGCTGCAAGTGGCTGTCCTGCCAATGCAATTCACGGCCCTCGATGGCTCTAGTGAACACTGTTCGTCTTGGTCTGGATAAAGTGTCTAGGGAAAGAAAGAAATGCAAAAATATAATAATGTATAATCTGAAGCTCTAGCTCCTGTGTCTTTTTCAGGGTGAAAAGATGGACAAAAGAATAATAATAAGTGTGAGCAGCTACTTTGCCATACTCTCACAGGAATAATTAACAAAAAGGAAAAATTTGGTAATTTGGGGATGGGGGGTGAGACAGTGGATTCAGACTGAACATAAAAGAAACATATAAATATTCATCCAGTCAGTAAAAGTCCTTAGAATCTGACAGTCTCTTTAGAAATTCAATTTCTGCTTCCATGAAGATTTAAAGTCTCGGTAACCATATATAGGGTTGCTATGAGTTGAAACTGACTCCATGGTACTTAACAACAAAAACAAAATAGCACCTATATCCATATGGAGTCTTGGTGTGGTGCTGTGGGTTAATGTACCAGACTGCAATGTTGGTTTGAAGGTCAGCAGTTCAAGATCACCAGCTGCTCCTTTGAAACCTTATATAGGGTCATTATGAATCAAAATCAACTCAACAGCACTTAATAACAGCAACAACATATCGTATGTTGCTGTATATGGAACAACAAATATGTACTCTCACAGGAATAATTAATAGGAAGGGAAAAATTGGTGATGCAGGAGAGAGACGATATAATTCTTGAAGTGATGTGCTAGATAAGAAAGAAAGAATAGTATCACAAGAATAAGTGAAAAGTTTAGAATTAGAAACACAAACAGCCACAAAAGAGGAGCCAGAGTGGATGGACACTGTGATAGTGAAGGTTTTGTGTCAATTTGACTGGGCCAGGATTGTCAGTGATTTGGCAGTTGGGATGTAGTTATCCCTATAGTGAGATCCAATATAATGGAATTAACTCATAACCAATCAATTGAAAGGGTGTTTCCAAGGGTGTGGCCTGCTTCCAATATATTAGACATTTAAGCAAAGCTTACTTGTTCTCTGTTGGGTCTGGATCTTGCATCTGGCTTGTCCTCTGACTTCTAGTTCTTTGGACTTGAACCAGTGACCTGCTCTATTGTCTGCCTGCCAGACTTGCCTTCTGGACTGACCAGCCTGCCTGCTTGCTGTCTGAGCTGCCGATCCTGGTTCATCTGACTTGGACTTGGGGCTCTACTACCTCTTAAATGGTATCCTTGGTATTAACTTCTCTTTATATATTCATATATAAGTTTCAATGGTTTTGCTTCTCTTGAGAACCCAATTAGCCAGCAGCAGAAACCAACAATGATTTCAAGATATGGGACCATCATTATGGGACAGGGAAATCAAGAGACTACTTGGTGGCAGGTTGATTACACTGGACCGCTTCCATCATGGAAAGTTGTTGTTGTTGTTGTTAAGTGCCATTGAGCTGGTTCCGAACCATAGCGACCCTGTCTAGGGTTTCTGAGGAGCAGCTGGTGAGCTTGAACAGTCGACCTTGCAGTTCAAATGGCTTTGCAGTCTGGCTCATTAATCCACAGTGCCACACCAGGACTCCATCATGGAAAGGGCAGTGTTTTATTCTTACTGGAATACTTATTCTGGATATGGATTTGCCTTCCCTGTACATAATGCTTCTGTCAAAACTACCATCTGCAGACTTACAGAATGCCTCACCCATTGTCATGTATCCCACACAGCACACATATCCTTAGATCAAAGGACCTCTTTTTCAACAAATAAAGTGCAGCAATGGACCCATGCATGTGGAATTCACTGGTGTTACTATGTTCCTCACCATCCTGAAACAATTCAATGATTGAATGGCCTTCTAAAGACACAATTACAGCCAGCTAGGTGGCAATACCTTGCAGGGTTGGGGCAATGTTCTCCATGAGGATGTATATGCTCTAAAGTAGTGTTTGATACATGGTGGTGTTTCTCCAGTAGCCAGGATTCATGGATCCAGGAACAAAGGGGTGGAGATGGGAGTAGAACCACTCATATGAACTAGGAGAATGGGGCAGCCCAAAGCCACAGAGAGCAGAGCTTAAGTTCAGGGTTAGGGGCCTCTACCTCAAGCTCTGGTAGCATAGTGGTTACGAATCGGGCTGCGAACCTTAAGGTCAGCTGTTCGAAACTACCAGCTGCTCCGCGGGAGAAAGATGAGGCTTTCTACTCCCGTAAAGATTTACACCCTCGGAAACCCTGTACAGGGTCGCTATGGGTCGG